TTTTTGCCTTATTTCTGGCGCTCTCATTATTCTGTGACTGTTATTTCTGTTATTCCTGTGCTCAATTTCATAAACAATCTGTTTGCTTAAGTGCCCCGTTGAATACGCTCACAAAATTCGGCTCCTCCAGACAATTTTGGATTTTTCTAAGAGAGTCTTAAAGCCTTTCTTTTGATCTTCATTTCTGAATTTTCAGTGATTTTCCTCCTGCCTCCCTTGTGGTCAGACTTTCACTTTCGCATCTACTACTTACAGTGCAATGAGTCGGATTAGAGATTTAACAAAGCGATTGATTGTCTTGCACTTGATCATTTCTCTTTTTAAATGACTTATTTCGCTTTTCATAAACTTAGTATTTTTCTGTTTCTTAAGGCGTGTGCTCCGGGATACACAAGAATCGGAGGAGGTCTTTACCTCGGCCAGTGTCAACCGTGTTCTTGTCATGGTCATGCGACGGATTGCGACTCGTCCAGCGGCGTCTGCAAGGTACGGTGTTTGTGCTTGAGACGATTCGCCACTTCACTCTTGTGCGTACCTCTCAGGACTGCCAGGACAATACGGAAGGCGACCATTGTGAACGATGCAAGCCCGGGTACGAAGGCGACGCCAGACGCGGAACTCCTTATGACTGTAACCCGGTCCACGCAAGGCCCGCTTGCGAATGCCACTACCACAGTCCGATCGGGTGCGACGACGACGGCCGATGTCTGGTTAGTGAAGCAACACGTGCTTGTGTCAGTGACGGTGACTCAACGCCTACCTTCGTGTACAGAGATGTGAACACAACACCGAGGGGACGAACTGTGAACGTTGCAAGCCCGGATATTACGGTGACGCGACCGTGGGAACGCCGTTCGACTGTAGACCGTGCCCATGTCCGTACGTCACCATTCGTTGTGTAGTATTCGATTAGATTACTGGCGATTGTGACGTTCTTCAGAGGCGGATCCGAGTGCTACCTGGACGCGAACGGCCAACCGACTTGCAGAAGCTGTCCCGCTGGCTACACCGGACCTACATGCAGCGAGTAAGTTTAGTTTGGCCAATAGAGTTGCAAGCGTTCACTTCCGCGATTTCAACGTACACAAGCATTCAGAGTCCTTCTCATAGCGAAGAGTCAGTTTCTGAAAGGTGAAATGAGGATAAATTGTCCTCAATGCTTTCTCAATCAAGAACAAAAAATAAATAAACAAGACGGACAGCAAACGGTTGCCCACTGTTCGAGGGTTTTTCCGTACTATTCAGTGGTTCCTAGGAATCACTGGTGCGTCTGGGCACTTTTCTGGCCTTGTAGATATGACGATATACGTGTTGCACAAGCAGGCCAAGTCTTCATGATCCCAGTCGACATGCGACGCCGTCCCTCGACCTGCGCAGTGTGGCACGACACTTGTTCTTTCGGTTGAGTTCGCACGTCCACATTACCTTCTCTTCTGTTTCCTTGTCTCTGATAAACAAGTGACCAATGGGCAGTGACTTCGACTCACCTTTCATACTCGGAATCAGCTGCAGAGACATTTCTTGACAACTATCTGTCATTATTTGAATAACTGCGGCTACTGTATCAGTTATGTTCTCGACCAACTGTGGTGCTTATGGCACGTGACATTTACAGTTACTCCGCAGGCGATCAGCTGCCGGCGAGCAATATGCGAGAGCAAATTCATGTGAACCGTGTGTCATAGTGGTAGACAGTGTGCCTGTTGGTCAACATATTAACTTTAGAACATTTTTCGATTTCGCTTTTTACTGTATCTATGGCCACTAAATCAGGGGATTGAATATTCGAATGAATTTCTGAAAATAAGAACCACATTTTGGTTTCCAAAGCGTTCATAACTGAAATGAAAGTTATTCAGATGCCAGAAATTAACATTTGGCAACTTGTTTTTATATTATTTTTTGGCTAATTGCTTCTTCAAGAACACTTCTACCATAGTCCGAATCTCTTCCTGTTCAAACAAATCATCAGTTGCTTTTTTATCCTTGGAAATTGGTAATTAACCATACAGCTTTGCTGTCCTTTTGCAGTTTGGAGAGAGTCTTCTGTCGGGATCAGATACCTCAAACGACAACGTGACATACTAATATTAGAGTTGCCTAAAGAAAGTTACATTTTCTGCTAATGTTTCAGGTGTGCTCCTGGCTACGCAAGAGATCCAAGCGACCCGTCCCGTTGTAAACCCATCGGTAGGCACTATAAAAATAAAATAGTTTATGGCGAGTGGTTCCTGTTGCGCAAATGACCGTTGCTCGAATGGAATGTTACAGAAAGTACCTAACAGTCTGCCATCGCTTTACTACGCAGCGCCTGCAGTGCGTGTGATTTAAAGTTTTTTTTGTGCCTTGAGTCCCTGCTGCTAGCCATGGCCAGTCGGTCGTTCGACCGGCTTTCCGATCGCCTCAACGGCGGCGATGAGTTTCGAAAATTTCGAACCGCTGCTTGAGTCGTTGAACGAGACGACGTCTTCTCTTCTGCATGCATGCGTTTCAGTTTCCTGTCGTTGTTATTCTTCGATCAGTCGTTCACTGCATCCATGTGTCACATTTTACCTTCATGTTTGACTTGTTGTGCCGTTCTGCCGTTCTTTAAGACCTCTGTGCCAACGATAGCATGTTCCTAACTGCACCTTTGCTACGAAGAGCATGACGCTTATTTTCCGCTGTGCTCGTGATGCGGTGTTGCGACCGCATATTATGCATAACGCGTTTTTCGTGTGTTAAAATAAACCGAAGTTTCCTGTGTTCCTCTGGAAGCTGAAGGAAGATGGGTAATTTTTAAATCAATTTATGGCATTTTTTATTCGTTCGTTTTGGCCGCCTCCGATGCTTCGGTTGTGCAACAGCGATTTTCCTCACTTTTAAACAGCAATCTGTATGCCAAACAAAGAGGTTTGCGTACTGTACCACAGACACTAAAACACAATCTCAGACTTCGTACAGTGGTACTAATTCTCTAGAGAGACCATATGAACTAAGGCAGTCATTATAAGGTCAGAAGATAAGTTCCACCCCATAATTTATGAACATGGGTTGAATGCCAACTGACTGGATTGCACCTGACCTGCCGCATGAAACGAATCATGCGAATCGTTACACCGGTTTATATGCCAAAGTTACGTATCCTCTTTATTTTTAAGGGATCGTAGAACATTTACCTAGAACAAAGTTACATGGTATTTAAGCATTTACTGTACGTGAATTTGTAGTAGCATCACAGTGTTGATCTTGACAGTATATATGTTCGCGGCATCAATAGGAATATTTGATAATCCGTATCCATTATAACATGAATGAGTTAAGTTATAAACTACAATTTATGTTTCATGTCGTTATATAACTCTCAGAGACCGTTTCCTCTCATTGTTATTGCTATTGTGCTGCTTCACTTTACAGTTTCTGACAAATGGGCATTGTCCGTTTTCACTAGATACTGACAAAGGAAAATGACTCCTTCAAACGATAGGATGTAATCATTTTTAGCCTCATTGCTACGGCGCATTTCCAGGTTTCAGTTCAGGGCGCTATTGAAGTTGTGCGAAGGGTATTACTTTGTTTCCAATCCCAGGATTTTTATTCATCAAGCATCGTTCAACCGGTCCAAAAGTGGCATAGCAATCTTCTATGGTTTCTGTAGGAATTGACGCCTACAATATCCCTAATATTTTATCCGGCGGCATAGTAAGAATGGAGAGCACTTTTTCCTTGGAACAAAGCTCCTTAAAACGCATAATGACCGCTAAAACAATAAATACTGTTTTTCCTTAGCCCAATAATGCTTGCAGATTTCTATCTTGACTGAGGAGTAATTAATTGCCAACTATGGATTTAAATCCTGGCTGGTTCCTTGCTTTTCTTATAGCGGATTTCTTATGCCTGATTGTCATGAGGTTCGATGAAAAAACAAGAGGTGTCTTGCTGTAACCAGTCAGCTTTAGACATTACCTTCAAGAATATGATGGGGTCCGACTGAGGTGACAGGTTTGAAGCAACACTATAAGTTAGATGAATAAATTTTGCAATCCAGGTAAAAATACTGAAGACTTAGTTCCGAATGGAGTAGAAGTTTCCTTCCCATTAGGGGAAGCGGAGGCTCAGTTGTAAGAAGTAACTTCACACATGCACTGTTGCCATTAATTTTCTCCCGAACCTCCTTGCAAGAGTTTCTATGCGAAAAGATGCATCTCCTCGTTATACCTCTACTACGTTCTAAACGTATTACTACCTTATTGGATGTGTAGTATCATATGTTACTCTTTATTATGTGTCATCTGAACTGGAAGTTTGCCTACATTTATTATGACAGCATGTGTGTAATTAGCTTTAATTCATTACTTCTGCATCAAATGCAGAGGTCCAAATTCTATGGATAATTTCATTTACTAATTATTTTCTATTGCAGGACTAGGAGAGTGAATTTGCATGTAGCAAATTTGCGTCGAAGCTGTACATTCGTCGTCGATTCGTAGGGCACCATACAACACAGTTGTTAGCAATTTTTTCCCTATGTGCTTTGCTAAAGACAGAGTAGCATCATCCAAGCACAATTCTGATGTGGCAGGCATCAAGCCACCTTACAGATGCAAGAACATAACATTTAAAGTGAGTGGTAGACTCATGCCTGATCTTAATCTGCATAAAAATGACTTTAAACTTTACTCCATTTTACAATATCAAACTTTCTAATCACTTTCACCAAAGAATCCTGATTTTCAGCAGGAAGGGGTGTTCATTATCCATGTGATGTTTCATTTCAAAAATATGTAGCGACTCCTTTAGCAGAAGACAAAGCCTGGACTGCTTTTTATCAAGTGCAGACACTTTCTACTGACTAAAGAAATGTCCCTCAGAAATGGCGCGTTGGCAAAACCAGTGGTCAGCCTGTCTGAGGCAGATTGCTGATAAGTGCTCTTTAATCCGGATGTTCATCCAGGTGTTTTCGATGTGTCTTATCGTAGTCTCCGCACTCGACGCTGTTTACCATATTCAACTCTTCCTGCGGATGGCGCAGAGTATACGAGAGTGTACTTCTTGAATACGAGTGTCCCCGAAGTCATGTCGGTCTTGTAGCAGGCCCTTAACTCAATGTTGTTGAGGTATCTCATGACCACCTCAGATACTTAAAATATGTATGATTAAAAAATTATTATGGGTCTGTTTTTACACGGCTCAATCAGATCACAGTGATGCGCAGTGGTTCACTGTTCAGTGTTCTCCTTGAGCACCCATTCCTCAAAAATAAAAACTATTGACTCCTCCAAGACCAGATTTTTTAAGCGCAAGTGACAAAGCTATCAAGTTTTAGCATGTCGCTGGAAGTGGTGTTGCTTGTTCTTCTGGATATTCCTGAGAAGATCCCGGAGGTAAGTATCTATATGAAGTGAGTGGGCCTCCGATAAACGGAAACTCCAGATTAAAGCGACTACGTCTTCTTCAAGGCACGTTTATTTCTGGTTCACTTCAGCCTTGGTAGTAAACTTTATTCGCCCATTAAAGTAGTACCCATTCCTATAATTTGCGAAACCTTTCAGCTCCACCAGCTCGTTTCTTTTCCGTTTCACTTGTTCAGCTGTTTCTCAGGAACAAAATGAAGATCACCATAAATCTGATATAGAAAAACGGGGGCAATTTTGCTGGACATTTCTTAAGGACCTTTTCTTCGTGTGGTTAGGGTCTACTGTGACCCGAGCAGCAGTTTGGAAATGCTCTTATTCAAGAAGTATGCCCTGAATCTCGGTATATATCTGTGCAGCTGCAGTTGAAAAATACAGTGGAGTCGAGGCCTGTTTAAACGGTTCCCTAATGTACTAATGCAAACAGGCAGCTCGACTACTCAGTGTAAATCTGGAATACTGACAAAAGGCTTTGTACGCAATAAATATTTTACGAATTCCTCTACGAAGTTACCGAAATATCGAAAGTAGCAAGCCAAGTGAATGTTCTATAGTAAAGTACAGCAGTTCGTAACCTTTTTCTCCATACACCCGTTTTTTGCCATATGTCAGAACGTTATTCTTCCCTCTCCAAATTGTTCGATTCAAAACGAGCATTGCAAATAGTATGCATATACATTTACTTGGATTATTTCATAGTGAGTTTTACAAATTTAGCAGCAATAGAAAATGTTGATGGATTTTATAACCTAAACATAAACAGTTTGATATATTCATAACTAACTATTTAACAAAGTAAACTGAAGCATAATTCAATAAACAAATGGTTTAATAGAATACCAGGGCATTGTAATTCAGTTTATTCAAGCACAGATTACGGTCAATGAGAAACTGGTGATTGTTGTTTCTTTACCAATTCTAGGATACGCGGAGGAATGCTTGAAAGGGCACAACGAAGGTTATTTCCAACTTCCCATGTAGTTAGCTGCTTCGTTTTCACTTGCATCAGAGTTGAAAAGCCTGACTCGCAAAATATGTCAGTACAAATGGAAGAATGAACGGATAGCTCTTCCTGGCACTTTTGGGTAAGAATCACACATCAGAGGCCAAACTTCTGAAACCGATTTCTCATTAAACATATTTCTTACTCCTAAATCAGTCTCCAGCTCCAGAAATTTATCTTGAAAATCATCAGGAACTTTTTCAGCTGTCATTTTAAATGGAATTCGCACTGAATTCAACTCATCATCACTGAGTTCAGGCAAATGTGGTATGAATTCATTTTCTAGTGCTGTCAAATGTTGTAAAATGTCATTTTTTGCAAATCCTGGAGGTACTTTGTCATCGCCATCGGCAGCAAGAACTGATGCCAGTTTGTCAAACATTGCCGTACATTTTATCTTGATTTTCCTCTTCCAAATTTCCAGCATATTCACGAAATTTTCAAGGAATCGATTAATTTTATGATGATTGTATTTCTCTCCTGCATCTGAAGATTCAGTTTATTTAGCTGCTCAATAATGCCAACGAAATAGGCAAAACACATGATACATTTCTCATCATCCAAAAGGCCAAAAAATTCTATCTTACTCTGAACTTCAAAAAAAAGAGTTCAGCTCATCACTAAGCTGAAATACTTGCTCAATTACATTTCCTATTGAAAGCCGTCGAACATT